GGTGCTGTAACTGTTTGGTGAATCCTCGACAGCCGTAGCTCCAAAATTGTAGGTTTCTCCATCTCGGGAGCCACTACTCTTTCTAAAAGTATGGGAGCTAAGGTCTCTTTGGTCAAAGGTTCTAAGCATAACCATAAATCTTCTCCACACAGAGTCACCTCTTGTCGCGATGAAGACATGCCAATGCCTATTAAACAAAGAGACTGCAAAAATGAGAAGAGCTAAAGATGCGGAGACCCCGACAATGAGGAAGAGACTCCAAAAGCTATCAAGTCCAAGACTGTTGGAATCGGAGATGGTGGGTGATGTATCTGAACATGTGCCTTCCGGCGCGAACCATTTGTTTTCAGCATCAGTTGTATCATTTCCCTCATTCACGACCAGGATTGCCCTTGAAACATCTGGCACAAGAGGTGAACCTTTGGGGAAGACCTATATAGGTGTGCACCCAAAAAAAAAAAAAAAGGAAATCATACGAGGAACATTAGAATGATAAAACCATCTCGAACTTGCTCTTTTACCGCGTAGGTTTGGTACCAAATCGCTAATAGAGGTGAGACTCAATGACGCTAAACTTGAATCCTACCCGTATTAGTAATGCGGTACACAATGTATATGCAGGTGACACATTACTTCTGAGAGAAGTAAAGAGAGAGCTCTTACAAAGCCAAAGCCATCAGTTCTGAAAATTGGGCCAATCATGGTGTATTTCTTGCAATATTTGGCAAGAAACAGCCTAATGTTGGGGGTTTCGTCGATAGCAGCAGCAATACCGCCTTTGGCACTCCCATTTGTCAAAAATACGTCACATTCTTCCCTAGACGTGTAAGGCCGTAACTTGGAGGGATCAACACCCCGGTCTATCAGAAGGTCGCGGACGAAAGAACCGTTTTTGTACCCAATATACTCCTTATTGTTTATAAGATCGAATATATTCGTAAAAGTTGGCTGAAGTTCTTGAGATGTTAACAATGAAGTTAGACTCGCTGTGTAACTTTGCGTTAGTATCAGCACTACAAACATCCAAACAATCTCCACAGACCTTGCCAAGTTGCCAATCACCCTCTCTCCTGTACATTGATGAAGTAGAACACGATGATACAACAATTAGTTGTTGAATTTTAAGTATAACTATGAAATCTTTCAAGGTTGTACTAGCTAGTACTTACGCTGTGCAAAAACCATGGTTGAGAAGGAGAACCAAAAGACTGTGCCAACTTGATGAGCAGGAGGACCGCGAAATTCATCATTGATACGGTGTTCAAGAACCCAAACCACTGAACCAACGAAGACGAAAAAGAAAGCACTTGTCAACCAAAGATTCAGTGTCAAAGGCTTTAAGAAAATCCATGCACTTTTGCTCTTTCTATCTTTCGTTGGCACTACCATCACTACCCCTGATTCTGTGTATGGCAAGGTAAAGTCCACATACAAGGACCTGTTTGCTCTAATTGTTGCATCTGCTGCCACTGCATCAAAATTCTGTCACAGATTATTAGTATTACAACTAATGATAATTGTTAAACAAAGTGAACTACACACTAGTTTCTAGTACTACTTACCCCGAGAAATACTTGATGCACCAAATCATCGTAAGTGCCAGCACTCGTACCATCTGGATTGGCGAAGGGAATGAAATCATAAGCAACATTGTACTTTAATTTGCCCATTGCAGCGTTGAAGATGTCAATGACGTACCCAGCAACATGAATCGTATTAGTGCTAGAGTCATATACTACTTCTACAAATTGAGGATAGCCATTCTCCACAGGAACTCCTACTCTCAATCTTTTGCCGTTTGTCGGGATCTCCCATCCCTTAGGAACTGAGGTAGAATCTCCGGGCCATATAATAGGTCCAACATTGGATTTAGAAGTTGAATAAGGACCACTTGTGTTTATCAAGTTCAATTTTTCACAAGTCCACTCTGTGGTGTCCAAAACCCAATTGTTTTTGTTGCATCACCCAACACATTTACCATTTCAAAGACGGATGCTTGTAATTGCCCATCAACAAAACTGAAATCCCCACTAAGGCCTCTAAATTTAGTACCTGACAAGGATTTGCAAAGCTCTGGACCATTTTGGGAGATCCCAATTGATCCAAGATCATTTGATGAGTTGGTGGAAGCATTTGCCTTTTTGAAGACAAAGCTTGTAGTCCCAACATTTTCAACTGCCATGGCTAATGCAAAAGCAGCATCATAAGCCCAGAGTGAAGGAACGTCTAATTCAGCGTCGATAATTGTTGGATTCTTCTTTTGGAATTGCCTTTTCCATCGATTTCTAAAATTGATATATTCTTCTGTTCTGGGCACATAAGTCCTCACACCCAGTGCACCTTGCATTGAATTGATGACTGAAGCATTTGTTGTACTCAAAAGATTGGTTAACCCATTGGTCATTATCCAAACATACCCTTCATCCATCATTCCCTTCTCTCGTGCCTTGGCAAAAAGGCGAGAGCCAAGAGAGGGCAACATGTGCACAATGAAGACTCTAGTCTGCATAGTCATTAGCTTGGAGAGCTCTGCATCAAGCTGGTCCTCAGTGGCTTCTGGAGGTATAACACTTCGATATGGGACACGAGCTTCAACTTCTTGCAAGGCATCTACCAAGTAAGGTATTATTCCCTCGCCATACTCGTTGTCTACATAGATGGGCACAGCTTCTCTCCATCCAAAGGCTTGGATGATAGCACTTATGGCTTTCACCTGAGATGAGTCATTTTGTGCGGCTCGGTAAAAGTATGGACTTCGAATAGAAGTGAGGGAAGGATCTGTTGCTGAAAATGAGATGATGGGCACCTGGGCTTTGTTCCCCAGATCAATTACAAATTTGGCTTGCATCGATGACTTTGGGCCGAGGATTGCCTGCACTTGAGCATTCTTTATCAGGTCTAATGCTTTTATATCAACAGAAGGCACAAGAAGTTAGTTACAATGCTTCTTTTACTTAAAATAGAATCATAGAGTGAAAGTTGTTGCAAACTGAAATAAAACACGGTCTACAGAGAGAGAGAGAGACCTGCAGCAGCTGCATCGACAGTGTCTTCTTCGGAGTCCCTAACGTTTAGAACCACCCTGGTAGAAGAGGAAGCATGAGAGCCGGTATAGAAATCTGAGAGGGCCATGTTAATGCAGCTCAACCAAACTTTTGCACTGAGTGAATCAAGGTCATCAAGAATCACACCAACTTCCACTGCGATTGTTATGTTCGGGGACTTGTGTCCCATAGCCAACGAATTCATGCTTAAAGAAACAAACAAGACGAAAGAAGAGACTAAGGCCCCGTTTGGGATTGAGGTGATTTTAAAAAAAGCCACTGTGAAAAAAAGCTGAGGGTCATTTTTGTGTTTGGTAAACTGAAAAAAAAAGGGCTTATTTTGGAAGCTGCTGTGAGAATAAGCTGAAAATCAAAGGAAAAGCTGAAGCTGTTATTTGCTGCTTTGAAAAAAAGCCAATTTTTTCAAAGCACACGGAGCTACAGTGCTCCTTTAATGAAAAGACACACTATCATCCTGCTTTTTTTTCCAAAAGCACTTTCACAAAAAAGTTTACCAAACACTCTACTGGCTTTATTTCACAGCCGCTTATTCTCACAGCACAGCCGCTTATTCTCACAGCAGTTTTTTTTCAAAGCACAGCAATACCAAACCAGCCCTAAGTCGGTCAGCTTCCTCTTCGTCATGGTCGTATCTGCTTCTGGATGGAAAGGTAGTTGTCCAAAGATACTTGGATCGGTATTTCTGATTCTAACGTAGTTATAGCATACAGAAAACTAGGGGTGTAAGATACATGCTTAATTACATAACAATTTCCTCGTAAATTACTAATACCTCTTGTTGGAGTAGCTCCAAGATAAAATTTGTCAAGAACTAAAAGAAACAAATGAAGCCTGTGTACGTAAGCTTCATTTACCTGGACTAAATCGCCGTCCAAGGTAAACGTGATAGTGAAATGCATAGTACAAGACCAAAGTACAATTAGAATAATGATGTCCAACTGTTTTCTTACTCCCCAAAGAGCTTCTGGGAAGCAATGAAATATTAAAATTATATTAGCATAGTAATTGTGAAGGTTTAAGCATCAATCGTTCGGCTTTTTTTAATTTTTAACAAGATGATATTTTCAGGAAATTTACAAGTACTGTGGACCTCATCGAAATCTACATCGTAATAAACCTACATAAAATTACCATATTACTTTACTTACTTTAGTCTAAAGAAGGCTTTTCAATTGCACTATACAAATGAACAGTATTTTGAATCACATTTCAATTTATTTACAAGCTTGCCACTCAGATGCTTTTAACCAACTTTCGCTTAATTTGCAAAATTGCCACTCAGGCTTAAAAACCTATTTTCAGCCGTTGGTTGCATTTCACCTTTGACTCGGCAAGAGAGAGGGGAGGGGGACATCACTCCTGACAAATTGGAGAGAGACAATCGCTCTCATTTTTTACTCGGAGACAGCTGGGTGTGCTTCTGGTGAGCGGAGAGAGAGGGACAAAGCGACTACATAAGAGGGAGACACAGGGCTTGACAGCTTGGAGAGAGATGGGAGCTACTGATTTGGGCTAGGACCCGGCTTCTCTGCCCTCCCAGTTTTCATACACTTTCATCTTCTCCGATTTTGTGCGGTCACGGTTAAGTCACGTTAACATTTTATATTGATTTTTTTTTATAGAGATAATAAGACAAAAAGCAACAATGATATAAAATGTTGACATGATTTAACCATGACCGCCAAATAGAAGAGGATAAGAGTGTATGGGAACTGGAGGGCAGAGAAGCCAATTCCCATACATTCTCATTCCCTCCTATTTTGTGCAGTCACGGTTAAGCCACGTTAATATTTTATATCGATTTTTTTTATAAAGATAATAAGATATAAAATAATAGTGATATAAAATATTAACGTGACTTAACCGTGACCACATAAATAGGAGAGGATAAAAGTGTATGTGAACTGGAAGGTAGAGAAGCCAGGTCCTTTGGACTGAGTGAGAGAGATTTAGGTAAGGTTCTCTGCCAGGATCTATGGGATTTTCTCCGCACTACATTTCAGTTTATTTACAAGATTGCCATTGCTTTTAGCCAACTTTCTGGCTTCGTTTCTCCTTTCTCAAACCCTTGCAGCCACAACACCATGTCTGGAATAGCATCGGCTCCTACTTCCTAAAACAAAAACCACACTTCAGTTCTGTAATTCGAGAGCTTATGTGAGATGAAGGAGAGGAGCAGGGAGATGGGCTCGAGTCGGGGAACGGCGGAAGAGATCTTCAGGGATTACAGTGGTCGGAGAACCGACGCCATCCACGCTTTAACTAACGGTACTCTCTCTCCTCCTTTTCTCTCTCTTAGTTTCCTTTTGGTTTTGGAAATCTCTGACCTTTTGGGTGATGTTGTTTTCTCATGTGGACAGAGAGAGAGGTCAAGCAAGGTTTCGTCCATTTCGGTCAACTTGGGTTACCCCCAACGTCCGGTAAGGTATCAATCTCTTCCTGGTTTTCGCTTTGATTTTTTTATGGAAGGTATGAGATTTCTTTAATCATACAATCAGCTTGCCCTTAATTATTCTTTCACTATATTTGACTGTTGTAGTCCTCTTTGAGCTAAGTGCATTGATTTGTCAAAGGACAAGGAACCAGATATTTGGAATGCTATCAAATTTGGGACTAGTACTTAACATCATGATTTAATTGAACATTCTACTTTAAAAATGACCGTTAGCGCCAAATGTTTATGTTCTGTGTCATGATTGGAGTGATATTTCAAAGTCTTATCAAATATGGTTGCATGTGTTTGGCAGTTTTGGAGAATGTTGTGTTCGATGACCATAATCGAGAAGCTGATTACTGAGAGAAATCTGTTACTGGTAAGTAATTTAAATTCTGGGGTTATTCAATTGAAAGTTTTAAATTATAGTTTAGTTTAGTTTTTTATTTATTTATAATTTTGGTATTTTGTTTGTGTTTGATTATATTGAATTCGGATTTCAGTGAACTTATGTTTGGGTTCGATATTTTCCTACAGGTCGTGATTGAGGGAGCTTGAAATGGCAATTGGATTTCATTGTCGTTGGTAAGGAAGACCCTTCCAGCGTCTTCCATTTTGTTCCATCGCTTTTCTGCTTCTCTTCCTCCCTCTTTCTCCTCACTCATTTGATATACTTCAACTTCTCATTCTTCATGATTCAGACTTTCAGCTATATCGATTAGTACTGAGTGAAGTACGAGTGGCAATAGAGAATAATGTGAAAAGATTTGTTACGAGTTAAAGGTGAATCCAAGGTAAGTTGCTGTCCAGTTTTTTCGATGAGGTTTTCCGAGTTTCCGGCAAGTTTCTTATTTAATTTTCATTGTTTTTGCAAGGAACCAGAGCAGGTCCAGCGACGGGGAAGGCCATGAGGCAGCACAGAGGAAAATCCTTCCCTCCTCTTCCATACTCTTAAGTTCGCAACCTCTGCCACTTCCAGCTCTGGACTCGGATCCGAAGCCCTCATGTGTAGATTCCCTCACACTTCTCCCTCTCTCATTTCCATGCTAATCATTCCAATTTTCATTTTTGTGTCAAATTCTAAATTTTAGAATCAGGGTTTAGATTAGAACCATGTGTTACACATTTGGGATTTTGAGTACAGTTAGTATTTCATGTTTTCCCTCTTTTTTTTTTTTAGAGATAATCAACTGTTATTAAGCTGTTTTGGTAGTGATTAGAACTTCCTTTAGAAATAATGAATCAAGTGATAGAGAGATAAGCTAATCGAAACAGTTCAAATATGAGGGAAAAATGGTTTTGCTTTTTTAAGGTTTCAATTTTTTTGAAGTTTGGAGGCTTATGTCAATCTATAACAATTGTTTGAATGGTTGTATATAAGTATGCGTTATACATTCAATTGAGCCGATGATGCATGTGTGCCAACGAATTTTGAAGAGTTCGGCTTGGTTTTCTCTCTTTGGTCTTTAACATGAAAAGTGAGGCACCTGTTCGTTGACTAATTGAGTCCCTTCTCCAAGTTTTTAGTATATATTGGATCGCTGTAATTTGCTTATATGAGCACATCTGTGACTAAAGAAAATTTAAGCTGTCAAGTTCCCAAAATGTCTAAGGATTTATCAAGTTTAACAAGTCACGAACTGTGATCAATCGAAATGCAGTGAAATTAGGGATTTTACACTAAAAAATTCAGTTAACTTTAGACCATAGGATTAGCATTTTGCACATGTGAGTATCATTAACCTGCTCATTTTATTTTTCTGGATAAGAAACAAACTGTCATTGAAGGGAGAAGACATTGTACAAAAACAAAGTTTATGTAAGATTTATATACGTGAGATCTTTGCTGCCTTATTTTTTACTTGCTATATATATTGGGTCATAGTGGATAGCTGCGATAACCTCACAATAAGTATGTTTTCTTCTTCTATATAATCAATTCTATAGCTGTTGTTTTTTCCTGATCCATATTTGCATTCTACATGTTATCTTTGTGACTGACTTATCGAGTCACTAAGCAGCAAGCGGATGTGCTGTTTTTAATTTTAGTCAAAGGGAACAAACTAATGGTCTAAGAGATTGCCTAAATGGATCCTGGAATGGTAAAAAATGCATAAAAGTTTGAAATAAATTGAGATCCAATATTATGAGTTGATTATCAGTACCATACATAAAACAAAGGAGTTCTTCTTGATTCAAAGGTGAACCATTTCATGAAATTATGATATTCTGAACAATTAATTTGTGTTTTCAGTTAAACAAGAAGCTTTGTAATCAAAGGATTTGTCGACCTATTGTGGAAGGTGAGATGCCAACTTTGTTTCCCAATACTTATCTTTTATGGAAATTTTTATATTTTATATTTTGAAACTCTAAACTGATTGTCCTTCACATGTTTTATGTAAATAGTGACACATCTATGCACAAATGCTTACAATCAGTTCGTCAAAATCTTGGTTATTTAAATTCTTAAGAGATGCCTATGTTCATTTGTGATTTTGTTGCCCTATGTTTTACTTTGTTGGTTGGCAAGAAGCATGTCCAGTTGATTCAATTTATTCTTATACTTTCTATGACAAAGCAATCCTTTGCAGTCCTTTGGTATCAAGGTTTTTTTTTATTTTTTTATTTTTTTATTTTTTTATTATCTGGTGCGCTACGTGCAATTACATATGTGTGAGAGACTCTTTAAATTAGACGCACTACGCACTTCTTACGGATTTTATAACGTCAGATTCTCATTTAGTTGTTGTTTTAAATTTGGGCTTCCATTTGGTTGAGCATCCTTTTCTCCAAAAGGTAACATTGTTTCTAATGCCTAATCAAATTTTGATTTCTTGGGTCATTACAATTTATGTAGTTTTGTAAAGAGAAATTGTTTACAAGTGCAAACAACTGCCAGATTTTATTTTGAAGTCTGAATATGCCAATAGAACCATATAATTATAATAGTTGGGACAGTTACCGTAAATCTTTTTGTGACGTTTTTTAATGGATATATTATTCCATTGTTTTCAGGGGATGGACAGAAGTCCCCGGCAGCAATCTCTTTGTGATCATTGCTGGGAAAATATCGTGGTCATTTTGAGTTCGGATTCAGCTAGCATGTGGTAAGCGTTTCTTCTCCGATTACTTTCATTTGTTTATTTGTGAATCAGTAGCTTTTTTAGGAATAATGAATGTCACAATTGCTGATAAATTGATACTTTGTTCGGAGCTTGAATTGTAGATCTGTGCAAGCTATCCATATATGGATCAATGCTATGGACTCTTCTCAACCTATGGACCTCAAATTTCAGTGCGTCTTCCATCATTTATCCTACCTCACTATGTATGGAGCTATTACATTTGCAATCATATTAATTCCTTGAAAACAATATTTATATTTCTATGTAAACTGCTAATTTTGGAATATACTATCGTTTCCTTGCTGGTACATTAAAAATGAAAATATGAAAAGTAGTCTCAACCTCGCCCGGGGGTGTTGTAGGCCGATTTGATGCTACGAGGCACTTTGTTTAGGGCTATCTGAGGGAGAGAGGTGTTGGGTGTCTGAGACAAGGGGTTTCAGGTTAGGGAACCAAAACGTTCAATTTCGTCATGTTCATTGTACAATGTCTTCATGTCAGCTCAGTTGAATGTATATAAAAACAAAGTTGCATATCTTACCGACCTCATTCACTCATCTATCCCTCACTTCATTTATGATTGTGTTGAATTTATTCAGGTAAAATGTATCTTATTCATGCAGTTCAAGGTGATGCATTCAAGTCCAGCAGCAACGCGCAGGAACATTTTCTAGTTTGCCCTATTTTAACATAGAATATATAGTGTTATTGTCAATCGCTGCCTTGGTTTTGGCCTCATGCGATAATATCTACTTGAAGCTTAAAAGAAAACATAAAAACGCAGGCCAAAAGGTGAGCAAGTTTTCCATGATCATACAGAGAAGAGCTGGCCGATACTTCCGCGACGGTGAGGCCAATTTTAACACCTAAGTGAAGGATGAAAAAGCAAAGACTTATCAGCCAGAGATCCCATGAAAGAGGCTTCAAGAAAATCCATGTATTTTTTATCATGTTATTTATTGGGAAGAAGTTTATATGTAATTTTGGGATGAAAATTCACAATCAATTAACCATTTGAAGCAATTTCTTTGCACTCTCTCCATCTGCATAACGTGCTGGCGTAGCACACAGTACATTAATTGTTAATTAATAAGGAACCAAAAGCCTCTGCAGGTTCCGTTTACCTTTGACCCGATCAAAGTAAATTTTTTTTTTTTTTTTGAAAAAACGATATTATCTATACTAAGAAGAGGGGTGGGTTTAGTCTCACAATTGATTAGCAATAATGTGGTTCAAATTCGTCTTTGACGAGAATCAAATCTAAGATCTCTCACTTATAAATAAAGAAAAATATCACTAGACTGTAGTAGGCAGTAATCACAAAAAAAAAGTACATTAATACTAAGGTCAATTTTGTTTTGAATCTCCAACTGCTAAAATGTCACATAAAAAAATTAATCTATATGTTTAGGTTCGATTCTCGTTAAAAACAAATTTAAACCACATATTGCAGTGCTAGCTTGAAATATGCATGGACGGAGCCAATCAAGGCTCACTAGGGGCAGATGCTCCCACTCAAGTAATTCATTTGTTAAATTGCAGACTTCAGTTATATAATATACACACGTTATCTTTGTAGTAAATATATGTATTTAATGTTCAACATACCTTCATACTACTTCACTCCATAATATGAGCAAAAGTGCTTTTGTTCTGTCATTCAAACCAAAAAAACCCTCTCCCGCCTATCATGTAGGAATATTTTTCTCATCATTTTGCCACTTTCCACTACTAGACTGAAATTTTTGTACCTTTGGAATTGTGATACACCATCATTTGAAATCATCCATATTATCATATTGGGTATTAAGACATCCTATAATAAGGTCTTCTTAGATATTTTTCAGGATGCCCCTACTAAAAGAAATTTCTAACTTTGTCCTTGGAACTATGCATGTTTTTTTTCTAAGTGTAGCTGACTAAACTCTTTGGTTGAAGATGGTACTTTACCGTAGTGGTGAAAAGCAATAATGTGCACCATAATACCGATTTAATCCTCACTAATCCCACTACCCTTAACCATTTTTTTTATGGGACTACCCTTAACATTTGTTAAAATTCAGTAAACTAGGAGAATTTTTTTTAATTTTTTCTTAATTTTATTATTAAGAGGGAAAATGGTTCGAAACTATTACAATAATTTAGAGAGTAGGAATTTCAAACCTAGAATGCATGGGTAAAACCCCAACAGCATATCTACATTAGAAACATGCAAGTTTGGATCTCCTTTACTCGCCTAGAATTTCAAATTTTTATTGCCACAGACAAATTATAAGATTATAATATTGATTTTCGAATTTTGTTTTCTTTAATTCCTTGTTCTTTTTTGCTTAATTGTTGTGCATAATCGTTATATTAATTACAAAGCGGTTTCTAGAGCTTTGTAGTTTTACGTTCACGAAAAGCAAATCATAGAATTGCCTAAAAATGCAAGCACTTTACAAAGACAACGTAAAACTAATTAGAAACGTGAGACCAAATTGTGCTCATCCAAACTAGGCAAGTACTGAAAGGGTTCAGGGTTAAAAGAGAAGATGAAGAACCAACAACGTCGTTTCAAAAATCACTACTACGAAATAAACGAGATGCAATCGTTTTACTAATTAATCCATACATGTACAAGTTAACTACTTCATATCAAGAATATCTTCCGCATAAAACAGCAAGAACACGAAGCAAAAGAAAAGAGCGATCGAGCATCACCTAATCCACGTAGAATTACTAACACAACCGCACACTGTAAATGGAATAACACGAATCCAATTGCAAATTACTCTTCCCTTGTTGCAGGATCCATCCCAGTTGAAGGGCTGTCCGCAAAATACTCTTGGTGCTTCACATTGACGCCATGCTGCTCAGTTGAGAATAACAAGATGAGCACTTTAGTTAAACGAAAACTAACATAGAAGCAATAAGTGAAAACAAAATCCGTTTAAAAATCTAATTAGGGCCAGGCGATCTAGATTGAGCTATTCTAGAACTAAACACGAGACTTTACTAATATTGAAGATTCTATGAATCCCACACTTCTACAGAAAACGTATAAAATGCAGGAATAATATAGAGGAGAACAAAAAAAACCCATTTGTAAGTTCAAAAGGCTCTCCAGTTTTGAAAGAAATAGAGGAATACTGAGGTGCATGAAAAAGGTAGCCTATCAAGCTAAAGTAATTCGAAAGAGTGTAGTCATTACCTCACGCAATGCCCTTGACAGGTCTTCCATCGTCAATATTAGACGCTTATCCTGTTGCAACATTAAAGTTAAGACGACATGTGATTAAAATTTAGATAAACATAAACACACATCTCACCAGAACAGTGATTGGAGTACCTTTTGTTGTTTGTCTCTTTTGTCTTTGACTACAGAAGCCTGTCTCGCTTTGCATTGCCTGTTTAGCGGTATAAGCATGTAAATATCTTCCCCAATTGTAATACCTTATACACTGGCTAACTACAAGTAGAACAACCTACGAATATAACTAATTAATACTGGACCAACAGCCTACTAGTGCAATTATACATTTCTTGTCCAATATTCGACCAATCATAAATGTGAGCTTGTGCCATGAGGCAAGAGGTGAATAATTTAGTGACTTACTGAAGAGCATCAGTTGCAACCTCAGAAACAAACTTTTGCGTGGCGACAGCTACCAGCCTGATTCTGCGAATGGAGTAAAGTACACACTTCAGCATACAAGTACATGCAAAGAAATACATATACATCCAATTCAAATTGACGAAAAACAAAATAAAACTAGCGGCACTTTGCCATTGTCAGCTCAAATGGAATTTACACCGAATTTCCTCTACATTAATGGTTGCAACGGTGCAATCTAATCTATGTCAAAAAGTACAAACTTTCACCCATCAAACAGGTGACCAGTTAGCACAAATTTGAAACCGCTAATTGGAACGAAGGCTAGGAAGCAAACGAAAAGAAGGAAACAGATCACAGACAACAATGAGAGTCTCATACCAGTTACAAACTCTACCTACAGCTTAATTCACATAGCATGAGTATCTAATGAACTACAACTCTGAAATTTTCGAACAGAAACATACTGTACACTTAACAAAATCAAATCATACTTAACAAAATCAAATTATTAATCTCACAACCCTAACGGCAACTGAAAACTCAACTGAGCAAATTGCAAATCGTCCCAAAATTTGAAATTGGAACAAGTACCTACAATCGAACGTCGGGGCACTGGAAGCCGCTCTTGGCCAAGTAATGCTCCACGAGCTCGTCGGGTATCTGAAAGCAGAAAAAGTCAGGATTTCGATTTCGATTTGATCGGAATTTGAAGGAAAAAATAAGATTGGAAAGTAGGGTTTTACGGTGGGGGCGTAGTCCATCAAGGAGGCGAGGAAGTCGGTGAGGGCGGCGTCATCGTCGTGCTTTCCGCCGTCGCTCGGTTGCTGGTTCTGGTTTTGAGTTGGGTTCTGGTTCATCTTCTTTCCTTCTCTCTCTCCAAAATACGATCTTTCCTTATGAGTCTTCGACTCTGATTTCCAGATTTATTGGCCTATTTTATAAACAAGTAATTTATTTAACCGGGTCGGGTTGTACCTATTTCCTCATCCAACTATCCGTTTTGGTTACTAGTACGACAGACTGTGCAGCAGGGAAAATAATCCTTTCCGGATCCCTTCCACTTAATCTACTAAGTTTGAAAATTCAAACTATTGAAATTTGATTCAATGGTTATAAATAGGGACTTATTTTAAAAGTTATAATAACTTTAACCAGTTTGATCAAATTTCAATGGCCCGAATCTCCGGACTTGATGGATTAGGAGGAAGGGATACGGAGATGATCCCTTTCCATGTAGTAGTACCCAATAGGACTGTAGGATGTGTTCCAAACTTCCAACCAGCCGGTTTAAAAGTGCTTTTCCAAAACAACCTTACTCCAAAAAAATAGCAGCAGCTACAGCTAAATCCAATCACAAATGGACATGTGTGCAACAAGTGAATTGAAAACTATGGTTGAACACATGTCCACCTATGATTAATGGTTCATCAGCTGATGCTATTATTTCAGCAATCTTTCTAAAGAGCGGTTTTAGGACATATTTGTCACAACTTCCCAAAGCTAAAAGTGTTTTCTATCAACTAAAAGGCTTTTAACTACGTTCGACAACATAGTGTTTGAGTAGTAAAATTGTTTATTTGAAAAAAAAACACCATCTAGCATCTTCAACTCCCAAGTGCTCTTTTAGGAAGCATTTAAACTTTTAATGAGAATTTCAACGTGTTTATAACAAAAGCGCTTACAAGCAAATGCTGCTTGCAGTCCCACGTAGAAAGTCTCAAACAAGAAGTGCATCAATCTTTTGAATAAAAATCCAAGTGTGCTTGCAACTAATAAGCTTTTGTTAATTATTTTAAAAACACTTCCAAATAAAAACACGAGCTCTTATGTCACCCAAATAAGAGAAGCAACACAGATGAATATTTTGAGGTACTAATACCAATTCTATAAAAATCTGAGGATCGGACTTTGCTATTAATCCCAGGTTGCAAGGGACCAAGATACACACTGATAAATCAAGTGAATGAAAAGTAGCGGCCACCCTCTTCCAGCCAAACTTTTAACATGTTCAGCTGGGAAAGAAATTATTGAACTAGTAAATCTCTACTTTTCACACGTTATTAAAAAAAACCCCCGATGTAATCTTCGTATCAAGATTCCGGTTAACAGAGAAAAACCAGGATCTTCACGAAAAAGACTTTGACACCTTTACATCACACTCTGCAGTCTGCACTGACGAACCAAACAAAAATGAAAGGGCGTCTACTTCTTCTGGGTATAACGCTGGATCCCTTGGACATCTACGATCCCAGGAGGGAAGACGGGATCAGTAGCTGCTGTAACGGCAACATTTGCCACGGAGGTGACATTCACTGGAGGAGTAAAGAGAGGCCCAACAAGCGGAAGCTGGCTCAGAGGTCTTGTATATTGAAATAGCTGCAGTCATATGTTTGAATATAAATCAGATGATGTATCTTTTTCTCAAGTGGAGGACTAAATGCAGAATATATGAAGAACTACAACTTTACCATCTCAAGTGGATAACCAATTACACCGAGAGGTAACTTTACGCTGCCAACGCTTCGAGTCCCATAAATAAATCCAGGCCTCAAAATCACTCCTGAAAATGGCATTTGCAGTGTTATACAATAGAAGTGTCCAATATTGTAAGAAACATAAGCCATATAACTAATGCTTCAGTGTCACATGCTTGGTTTCAAGAAAAGTAGTAACTTAATGTTTTAAGAAGATATTGATTGAAATTAATGAGACAAGATGTAACCGATGGATAAACAAATTCTCAGATCTTAGCTATCACTCGAAAAAATGATGAAAGAGTAAGAAACCTCACCTCCGTAAGGGAATTTGGTTAGTAGCTCTGTCTCTGCAGCTCTCTAGGTTGACAAGATACAGCAAAGGATTTTGTGTCAGATAAGATTAGACATGCTAAGCATTACAAGCAGACTCATTATGCTAATTCTTCCAGCAGCCACTAAAAACTAGCGACCAACCTACAATTAAACTCAAACAAAGCATGGTACCTTTCCCTCATAATATCCCCGCAATAAGTAATTTGCCAAGCCAAAATCAGCAGCAGAGATATAAACAAATCTTTTCACACCTGTGGATCAACGCCAATTGTTTAACAAGTAAGCCAAAGAAGTAGCCCATACAAGAAAAATAAAACATATATATGTATATATACCTTGTTCAGCGGCAGCTCTAATTGCATTGATGTTAGCAGTCCCATTAATCTTATACATGTAAGAATTGGAGCCAAACCCACCAACACAGGATATCTAGGACAAGAAACCATATTATGAAAAGGAACCAAACATCAGATCCATTAAATGAAAGCTCAGCATGAAGAACAAAGGGATATGCAGTTTCCATATGAAGAACAAAGGGATAGACAGTTTTCATTCTATACAATAAGCACATTCTGAACCAAAATTTGAAGAAGGGGGGAGTGGAAGGACAATATATCACATGGTTAGAGAATATGTCAGTATGTGCATGTGTCTTTACAACGTATTGGCAGATGGGAATAAGGTTAAACGGAGCATTATGGGACTTCATACCACAGACGTGACACCATCGAGGGCATCCTTCCATGACTCAGGCGATAGAAGGTTTCCTGAAAATGGAAATACTTTTAAAGGGTGTTTCTACATTAAAAAAAGAAATTACGGGTTGTCAATAAAATATTATTGCAAGAAAGTAAACCTTGATGCCAGGTCATACTGTCGGCCCATGAATCATGTAATTTTGACCTACCAGACCTGAGAAAGAAAAAAATGAGATAGCACTAGAAGTGAGGTTCCAATATCGAATCAACAAAAAGAATCAAATAAAAGGTGATACAATCATCGATGTATAAAGTTTTCCTTATCGTGTATGCAAAAGAATTAGGTAAAATGATCTTCGAGTTGGAAACAATTACTTCACAGTCTGATAGTATTGCGTTCTTATATAGCATACAAGCATTGAGATGGGTACAGGCCTAAACTGATCAACATTAATGAACAATTCATTGCCATCAACTTAACACCAGCACGCAGATACCAACCATCAAATACATAAAGACGAGTTATACCTGCTAAGGCTAGTGACAGACAAGCCCCGCTCCAAAGCTTCTCTACAAACATGTGAGCCAACAAATCCATTTCCACCCAAGACAAGCAACTGTATTAAGAAGCTTAGAAGTCAACAAACATAACACTACAGCATAGAGATAAAAAATAAAAATAAAACAACAAAGCCTTTCCCACTAAGTGGGGTCGGCTGACACTATAGCATAGAGATGAAGACAATAAAATCATATCACAAAATAACAGTTTCAAACTTTCAATGCTTTTGGAAACAAGATAGTACCTTCTCAGTTGGCGGAGGGGGAGTGTTTACAGTCTCTGCTTCCTCAACTTTGAAGGGTTCATCAACCTTATCAGAGTCTGTTGTCAGATACCTACCATTCTTCGGTGCATCCGATACACTGAATTTACAGAAATCAGGAAGTAAGGAAAACGGGAGTCTGCGTAAAGCGGGAGCTTTGTGCACTGGGTACGACCTTTTAGGAAGTAAGGAAAACCCAATTCTCCTCTTAACTATCTTTATTTTATTCATTTTTCAACCACAAATTCAACCACAAATTCAACAATGTAGAACAACCCATAGCAGCACAAATAATCCGAAAACCGAAATAAAAATATCCATGAACCCAGATGATCAAATTTCGTATAGAACCCCAAATACAGAACTATAAAAAAAAATTAAAAACAATAAAAAAAATATAAAAAAACCTAATAGTCTAAGATCCCAATTAGTAAATTTAAGGTTTTTGCATTAGTTTCCCAATTCCCACGCTTTCTCGACAGCGAAACACTCACTGCATAATAATTCGATAAACAACAGCACCAATAGATTCAGTACCAAAAAAGAACCACAAACACATTCAAAACCATAAATTAGCAGTGCACTGAGTGCAGGTATACAAATTGAGTATTAATTCCAATTTTATATAATAAAAAAAATTGAAATAAAAAACTTACAAGAGCCTGGGAAGTGATGATCTTGTATGGATCAACCGCCAGACGACCGTCCTCATTTTTTCGAATTCGCGGTTACACACAGTCCCCTTTTTTCTAGGGTTTCTTGAATTTTGGTTCTTCAATTTGCTTTCTCGGAAAATGCCCGGAGCGCAAGTAACCGGAAAGTCTGTAGCTTCTTCTTTTACAGACAACAAGTTTGGTTTAAAGAGAGAGAGAGAGAACAGATGGCGCGCAACTGTTGAGACAAGTGGTTCGTGCAAGGCCTTAGGGAAAACGCAACGTGTACACGCTCACACCTCAAGCTTTGTGTTTCACTTTCACGTGGCGCGAATATGGTTTTTTTTTTTCAATTCAACGGTTCTTCTCTATCATGTCATTTGATTTGTAAATTTTATTTATAAATTTGTTCTCTTTAACATTATCTTTTAATTACACTACTCCAATTTATTTACTAGAATTGAGGACTGTAAGAGAACGGATACACTGCTTGTGACCACCTGGTCTAACCTAAATTCGACTTCTCGAACCACAACTCGCAATTGTACAATCTCACAAACAAAGCACCTTAGTCTCCCTGTAGTTTCACACTCGTAACTTTGATTTCAATCAACCAATGTCTGCATAGATGGGCTACTTTTCAAGATGGATCTACCTAAGTTCTTCTGGCCCAAGACCTTCTTGGTTAGTAAACTGGCCCAATTTTCTTTGGATTCTCATTTTCTGGCCTTGAAAACCTTGTTGCTTAGTATACACTGGCCTGGATTTTGAGCCAAGCTGAGACGGGCTGAAATTTTGAGCCCAATATTGTTTTGAGAGGAGTATGGCTCCTTAAGTCTGAGGAGGAGTTCCTTTGCGTTTATAGTTGGAATCGTTTATATCATAAACACTTTGGTACAACAGCGAGAACTTTGGTACAATAGAAAGTGTTAAGTTTGTGACCTTTGCTAGATTGCTCCGGTCACTAGTGTGGATAAATATGTAAATGGATAGAGACTGGGAAGCAAACACAAGATGTACATGGTTCACCCAGATTAGCTACGTCTACGGAGTAGAGGAGTTCTCATTAATTGTGAAGGGTTTACACAAGTACATAGGTTCAAGCTCTCCTTTTGTGAGTACTAGTGAATGATTTAGTACAAATGACATTAGGAAATATTGTGGGAGAATGATCTCCTTTTATAGAAGAGAGTTTATAGTTTTGTTCTGACATTGACACGTGTTGTGTTGTGATTAGCTTCTGATGTTACACGTGTCGCGATATGATTGGCTTCTAATGTCGACAAGTGTCGCGCTGTGATTGGCCTCCTGGTTAGAAGGAAACTCTTCTGGATCCTTGACGGTATAACGTTGATCGGTGCTCGGTAGTTTCGGGATTGGTCAAGTATGGTACAAACAAAAACTAAAGTTGTTTAGTCAGTCAACTGTGGCAAATAAATAGATGACTCATAGTGCTTTTATCGAATCTGTCCATTGAGGAGCCAAATTAATTCTTATTGTTTTCAGTTCCTGCATTTGATTGCAACAAAGATTATGGAGGTAAACCTTTCTATTAAGTACTTATATTGTAACCAATGGAAGTTCTTCTCGGCACATTTACTTCAGAGCGAAAGGTTAAGATTTAACTAACTGATCATTTAGTTAAAGCTCAACGGTTTACTCTTAAAAAATAATGTGCAGATAAGCCAAGCTCTTGTAACCAAATCTCAAAAATTGAACACTTTATTAAAAGAGGCATTCAATAGACAGTATCGCGTTTTAGTAGCATAAACAAGTCACTAAGCAGTGTCAAATCAGAAGGATCTGATAAAAATCTTAGTCCAAATCACTCAGATCTTAATAGTTACGAAGGAAACCAGATTTGATATATTCCTCTACATATATATCTCTAATCCAATTTGTTCTACTGGCATTGGCATCCATGAATCCATTCCAAAAAAATGAATCTGTCCAGTGGCCTCCACTGTGCACGTTGACTCTTTTGCGTTGTGAGTGAAAAGGAAGAAAAAGAACATCCTGCAAACCCTGATCTTTTGTGAATGCCAAAGGCCAACACAGTGGAATTGAACATCTGATTAGAATCATAATTTGGAATAAATAATAGGAAACAGAACTTTGGAATTTTGAATCCATCAAATTTTCACACCATGCATGGATGCAGATATGCAAATATGCAGTAGCACTATGAGAAAAAAAATGAAAAAAAAAAGAGAGACATTATCCGAATATTAGCCAAAGTTTGTATGCGCATAAACTAAGAAAACGACTCGAGTCTGCCCTAGCAGTAGCCTTTACTTCTGAAGCAAATATCTACTAAATTGCTCTACGAAAATGACATAAAACTAACTTAATTCCCAATATACCTGAGAAATACAACTTTTAAAAGTGTGAGAATATATGCTGCATCCAGGATGTTGCAGAACTCACTGCCCCAATTTAAGATTTGGTTTTTGTCCAATGTATGTATATGTTTAGGTACATGAGAGAACTTGCTTTGTAATAGTTGCAACTCTCATGGTGCATGTTTTGAGAGAGATAGATACAAGGGTATAGATTACAATCGGGAATAGCTAAGAATCCCCCCAAAATACTAAAGAAAAACATACTTGAAATGGAACTAATATTTCTACACCAGGCATGTCACTCCTTAGTATTGTAGAAACAATCGTCTCATTATTTTTTTTTTTCTTTGAGCAAAAACACTTATATTTCTCAGAAAGTAATACAATACATATATGTGTGTGTGTGATTTGGTGCAATGCAGTATGTGACCACTGATGTATGAGCTAGTGCTAGTTCCCTTGTCTAAATCAAAAGGAGAATCATATATTAAAAGGATAAGTACGTCACAAAACCACTCAGGTAGTGGGAACAAGTGCGTCTTTCTCCTTATTTTCTATGTTGGCAGAAGATTCCAACACTAAAACCTCACCATGGTTTCTTTCTTTCTGTTAATTAGATTAGGTTGGACGCTAACCTTTTGTTAAATATGAAAAAAAATTTGGCTTAATCATCATGCATCCTATCCAATGTATCCCTTACAAGTACTGTACTATCCAATAGATTATTACTATAATAATAATATATTTCACATCGTTGGGGCAATCCCTGCATATGTATTTTAATTAAATCGATACGATATTATTCTCCTCTTTTAGTTTTAGCTATATGAAGTTTAATTAATTATAGAACTATCATCACTTACCAATTAATTACTTTTTAAAAATAAAGTGGCTGGGCAGAAACCCTAATTGGTACTGCACTCAGAGTTGGGGATGTCAATCTGAATTTTTTATATATATATCTGTGTGCGCGCGCAAGTCTGCAAAGGCTTTTTGATGAAAAGATATGATCCTTTCCGGTAATAGTTTTCTAGGTACAAATGAAAAAAAACTAATTAAGTGGTTAAACAGGAAGGTTAAGTACAAAAGTTGAATGGATCTGCTTAATTATCTGTTTGAGTTTTGTGATGAAAAGAAAGGTGATACAAAAGTTAACTGTGGCGATATATATAGGAGTAATTAGGTTTTCATCCTTATTTTTACTACTCTATTGATTAAAACCTTATTACTTTTCAATTTTTGATCAAGGTCCTTTGTATTAATAATATCATTAATTATTTCAATAATAAAATATTTTTTATTTCTAAATATATTCATTTAATATTAAAAATGTTACAATTAGTATATTTATACTTATGGCTAAATTTTTTATCATATATTTTTATTTTTAGTTTGTACCCATTTTTAATTTGCAACCCTTTTTTAATTTGTACCAATTTTCCTTTCAGTTTTAATTTGTACCCATATATTAAATTCTTTTTTTGCCCATATTTTTAAAGTTTTATTTGTATTGTACCCATATTTTTTTATTTATTTGTACCCATTTTTATTTTTGCTAAATGTACCCATTTTGAAGAATGTACCCATGTTTTGATACAATAATTTTTTGGTTATTTTTATGAATGTACCCATGTTTACACACACACACACACACAATAGTATATTTATATTTTAATATTTTTAATCCCACAAATTATGGTTTTTTATTTAAAATCTCATTACTATAAACAACTATAAATTTTAATTTTTAATTTAAAAAATATAGTAACGTACATAGAAATAAATTATCAATTAATTTCAGGGACTTGGATCAAAAATTGAAAACCAATAAGGTTTCAGTCAAAGATTGTTCATAACTAGGGACCGCATCCAAAGTCTCCCTATATATATCTCCTAAGTGGCTTTCAGCGACAGAAAGGGAATATATATTTGACGGGATGAAGTAAAAATGGTCTCAAATCGTGTTTAAAGGCTAATTAATATTTAGTAATGGTTTAGGCTTATATGCACGAAATTAAACTACAATTAATGTAGAATATGGAATCCATGCCACAGCACAAAAAGGAGAAAGAATATTCCTTGTTAAATACTTAAAAGCGTTGATTAACATAAAACACTTTGGTACATGTCGTGCTTATGTTGATAAAGTTCATATTCAAGCAGTAATTTGGGTACCAAATGTCAGAAAACAGGGAAAGAATAAAGTTAACTTCCCTATTAAGTTTGCGTTCTATGCATGTCCCATTTTCGTTCGTAAATTTTGCAATTAAACCATGCATATTTTGATTGACCAAAAAAACAACCATGCATTTTGGTTTGAGATCATGACTTACAATTTTTTATTAACCATCACATTTTGATTTCTAACTATTATGAAACTTGTATAATTCTGATCACTGTATTTATCTCTCAAATTGATTTTGATCAATATATGTCACATGTCGATCATCGACGTTCCTCACCTTTTTTGGGACCTTATGTTGTTAATCAAGTAGTTCGATCGTGTGAGGCTCGCATGGGTCAGGGTGAGATGACAATAGATTTGATGATGCAGCCAATCAAAAAAAAAAAAAAAGAGGGATTTTCCCTTCCATTTCCGTTGACCGTACGCCACGACAACACCTTCGACCCGGTTCTAATTCCGGCCATTTCCACCATATTTCCAGGTGATCTTCAACCATCCCACACCTGCCTCCTCTTCCATTACTCCCCATCCATCTACCATCTTCACACAATTTTGAAGGAATTTTAAGCCAAAAAATCATATTCAACGAATGTTATTTTCCCTTGTCACGTGTCGATCCTCGACGTATGTCGGAATCGAGGCGTGACAATATATGTTTCCATAAGTTAGCAATCGCATAGCCCTTCTGTTAATATTTTTAACGTCTAACTGACAAAAGGACTAGGATTGCTAACTTATAAATAATAAAATAGCAACCAAATTTGCAGAAAATAAAACACAGTGATCAAAATCGATCTTAAACACAAACACGGTAACCAAAATGTTCTTTAATCCATTTCTTTTATTTTGGAGGATCTGTAATATCAGGGCCGGTTTAAATGTCTGTATGACACAAAACAATTTTTTTTTTGTCGAACACAAAACAATTAGATTTATGATTAATTCCCCATAAACCAAAATATACATACACAAAGTAATTTCCCTTTTCTCTACTTGTCTGACTTCTAGCCACATATCTTTTTGTCATGTGTGTAAAGGATCCATTATCATTGACAGCATTCATTTGTAAAAAGAACTATTAATAAACACACAGATGAACTCGTGAGTCATGAAAGATGCTTAAAGATGATAAAACCCTATCTAGCTAGTTACAACATCATGCAGCATGCATGCCTTCCTAGGACGAACCAAATAAATAATGAACTCATCTTACTCATCTTTGATCCCTCACTGTATATGAGGAACTCGTGTACTGTAACAGAAAAGAAAAAGGAAAAACATTTCGATCATCGTCTAGAGAAAATTGCAACAATTACGTACGATTACTAGTCTTATGTATAAAGCATCCGCATGCGGGTTTTTCCCTGAGGTTTTCGAACTTGAGACCTTTTCAATTACACATAAAGTGTCGAAATACATATACAGATAGAGATATATAGGGTGGGAAAACGCAGGGCCAAGTGCCGGAGGCAATGGGACCTGCTGGCCGGAGAGGGTAGCAAGCAAAGCATAAAGTGGTGGCAAGCAAAGCATAAAGTGGTGGCTGTGTGATCATGCTGATGCTGACAGAGATGGGGGATATATTACAATGGCAACGCACCAAAAAAGTCATGATCCCCCACAACATAATTTTCTCAATGTTCCCTGGCCCCTACTCCCCCTATGTAGTCACAGTCTCCACCTGATTGATCTCATTGTAGACTATGTCTTACAATAGGCTAGCAATAATGTAGCTTGACGAGAATCAAATATAAGACCTCTCACTTATAAGTGATGAGAAATATCATTAGACCTAGTATTAAGTGACAGCTGATCCTATCAAGTCAATCCAAATCTACAATTTATACTTCCTCAATCAAGTGTTAACTATCTTATTTCTAGTATTCAGCAACAAAGCATGTGTCGATTCTACCACTTACCAACTAGTTTTACGACTAAAACTCGCATGCGACCTATTTCATACACCCATATCTCTCTATTCTCTCCATCTATCAACCATGCATGCAGTATGTTTCGTACACTTCTATCTCTGTCTCTTTTCTTGTGTTTTCTGGTTAACCCCCTACGAAAATTCAATTGGCAGCTTTTTAAATCTGGATTTCTTAGTTCATACAGCTTTTGGAAAAAGAAAGTTAGCTTTCCTTCCCTACACAACCAAAACCCAGCTCAAAAAAATCTGGCAAAATCTATCTTGTTTTTTAAAGGCTGTGTAGCATTATTTGCCTATCATTTATGATATTGATAGCAAAAAAATGTTTAGATCATGGAATATATCACTACATCAGCAAGAGCTACATGATTAAGACCTTACAAAGTATATGCCCTAATCGTGCTTAAAATCTCTTTTAAGTGGATTACATAGATTCAAGAAGCATGTTTAAGTGGAGAAGTGGGATTCCTACATAAATAATTATGGTAGTTTGAAATTGGACACACCATCAATGAGATCACTGGGCAAGTGATGCAAGTTTTGCTGCCACTTTAACCACCAATTGCCTATTCCTTTCTATCCTTATACAATGATTGTTGTCATTTTCATTGGATACACACAATCTAAATTTCCGACCAATTAACTTAGTGGGATTTTACTGTGGCTTCAGGTATGGACCCAAGCATGAAGCAAAACCTTAAAGCAGAAGAACGATGTACGAGTGCATTATTATTACGACATCCTAAGCAACCGACACAAAGATGTGTAAATATTTTTTCTACTTAATATTGTAAATGATAGTGGTGCATTCGTTTCATGTAAGTTGATATGCTAAAACAATGTATTTGTTAGACTTTGCCTTGTAATGGAATTCAATGTGAAATAGTAAAAAGTGTTTAGTTACATCATTCACCCAAAACATTCCGTTCTAGAAACATCATTAGTGTAGGTTAGAATAACAAGTATATATTCCTCACCCCACATCTCCAAAAGTAACGAGTACAAATTACTGTTATTAGTTGAATTATGTTCTTCAAGTACCCCCACTCTTATCAAGGTAATAAGTTAATTGATCTCTTCAAATTAAGAAATTCTAATCCATTTTAGTACAATATTGACAATTTTAATCATTGGACAACATCGTGACCAAAAATAAATACAATGAAAATGGTTATTGGCCAACAGAAGTTGATTACTTCAGCAATAGGCACCACCTATGTTATTCTTTTTTTCTTAATTATATTGGAGCACTACTATATGTTGCTTTATTCTAAATTTTAAAAAGGTGTAACTGGACTCGTTTGAAATTACTTTTAAAATAACTGAAAATACTTTTAAAATAACTGCTTTGGGAACCAATCCTTGAAAAAATGGAAGTGAATCCTAAAAAAACGCTTGAAGTGATTCCTGCAAGAAGTATATAATTGGTTTTTTTTGTATAAAACACTTAAAGTGCTTTTGGAACACAAAAACAATTCACCAAAATTGTTTTCAGTCAATTTAAAAGTACCTAAAACGAGTATTATATAGCTTTACATCGATGGATATCTTAATAAAATTGTTACAATTTAAACTTCCAAATAAATAAAATTGTTAAAATGGTCATCTAATAGTATTGTTCCATTGTCAGACTCTTGTGCATTCAATTTTTAGATAATGAATTTGAACCACACATCATGGCAAAGTTTTATTTTGATCAATAATTTAGAGTATTTAAACTCACAATCTAATGAATTTAAATATTTTACTACTAAATATGACAAGAAAACGTTAATAAATGTCCTTGGATCTTCTTCAATTTACTCCGTTCAACAGCTGAAAATAAAGAATGTTGTGTAAGAGGTAAAAAAGAGTATCGATAGCACCACCCAATATATATCCATATCTTGGCCCCAAGAACCATTGGTTCATATATTTTTAAGAAAACTAATGAAAAATGTTTGAAAACTTTGAGTTTTAACAAAGGGCAAAATAAAGGGTAAAGTGAATAGTATCATGATTGATTTTTTAGTGTAAAAATGTGATTTTTCATTAAAGTAAACAGTACCGAGAGTTTTTCGTTAAAATTCCCTATATTTTTTAGACCCATAAACCCTTAATGCTCCATCGGCATGATCCAACCGTGAAGTACACACAACCAAAAAAGGCCATTAATCCGTGACACCATTGGAGGAGTAGAAACACATACTTTACCTCCGCTATAAATACCGTAACTCACCACCTCCGTTTTCATTACCTCAAATTTCCTCACCTTCTTTCCATCTACTCAAAAACCTTCCTAATTTCCAAAACTCCAATTAAAAACAAAAATATGAGAACTGTAATTGCCTTCTCTACTGCAATTCCGGCAACGAAATCCCCACTGGAATCATCACTGCCGCCAACTCCTACAACCATGGGGCAGCAGCAGCGCTCGCCGTGGCATTCTCCGGTGCCCTACCTCTTCGGAGGCCTGGCGGCGATGTTGTGTCTGATTGCTTTTGCTCTGTTGATCCTGGCATGCTCTTACTGGAAGCTTTCGAGTCGGCTGGAGGACAGAGAAGGCGGCGAGGGTGACTTGGAGAGCGGCGACGACGAGAAAGGCGACAGGTCGAATAAACCAGTGAAGGTGTTCGAGGAGAAGATTTTGGTTATCATGGCGGGGAATGAGAACCCCACTTTCTTAGCCACGCCGGTTTCGGTTTGCTCGAAAGCTGCTTCTTTCGGCGGCGGCGATGAGAAAGTGGTGGACGGTCAGGGCATGAGTAAAGACGGAGAGAACGAGGAGATTTCTGAAAAAGTGAAAGAAGAAATGGGGTCCCATGATCACGAAGAACCCGAAAATATTCGAAACCAAGACGATGAATCGGAGACTCAGCCGAGGAGATTACAAGAAGAAGTCCAACATGAAAACCAGTGAGCTCGACTCAGCTTGCTCTGTTTCAGTTTTGGCATGTTTACGAGAGAGAGAGAGAAAGAGTGCTTTGTTCTTTCTTTTTTCGGTCTCCTATGTTGTCGTTTTTTCTTTTTTCTGGTGGGGTTTTTGGGGAATTTTTATGTTTTTGATCCGAAAATGTAAATTGTTGATGAGATTTATTAGTTTTGATGAGATTTAACATTAAAATATAATTAACTAGTTGATGTTAGAGGTTTTTGTTCTTGTCTTCCCATATTAATTTCTTAATTAGTGGCGTATTGTACTAATTAAGAAGGATCATTTATCTTTCTTTGCCTTTCTTCCCCACGCATTTTTTCAAACATAGGAAAGGTATGGGTTTGGAGCACAAGAAGTTCTAATGATGTTGAGTTTCATCTTGACATCTTGAGTTCAAATATCATCAGCAACAATGGCACAAAATTAGGAACATAAAACAAAACTAGTTACCCATCGAAACCATATTATTTAAATCTTCGCTTTGAATACCACTAACTCAAACATTATGGGAATGAAATTTGTATAAAATGTTGTGGTGTCATGGAGTAATGTTTTAATGGATACATTGTATAAAGAAAAAAATATATAATAGGAAAAGGAATAAAGCAGAAAATGAAGAAGTTCTCAGAATGAGTGCAACTAGAACATCTAAGCACCGGTTTCTCAAGTCTATCATGCACATATAATATTTTGTAAATAATCAAAAATACTGATACATTACATTCCCGTTACATAAGTTATTAATGAAAAAATGGTACACCTCCAAACTCCTAATTCGATGCCTAGAAATTTTAGGGTTGGCTTTGTTCGACCTAAATAGTTAAAACGAAATGTGCTAACCTGGAAAAATCATGGATCAAAGTTTTTGTTTACTTGAACCTCAAGGAATCTTCTACACGCTACTAACCCTTATGCATAAGTTAGGCATGAAGGAATTCCTTGTATTTATGTTGGGCCTGAAATTCACATTTTCGGTCGCGTTAATGTTTGGACCCGATTTTGCTTGACTTGGCCCATATACTATAAGTTGTTGGATGAGAGAAATATTAAGGATCATGATTGGCTTCCGGATAAAGGTTGAATTAATCACATAATCTATCTAGATTCAGAGTCTTAGTTGAAGACGACAAGACTTGATGGTGATTAAGTTTCGGGCGAGAACAAATCTGTGTATGTTTAAAGAATATGCCTAGAAATTGGAATATATCAGAATTTTACAACTCAGCAGACTTGATCATCACAAAATTGCAACATAGAGAGGGTCATTCAACTTAACACATAAACGCAAATGTGCTACACAAGACCTCGCTCTACGTGAAACTTTCTCACACCTCTGATAAAAATACTAACTTGCCGAACCTAATGCAAACAATCTTGAACTTAGTAGTGAATTGAATAACCTTGTCTTCATATTCTAAAACTCTAGGCCGAGAGTGTTCCTTACTCAACCGTTGTCACTCAATGCAGAAGTTAGCAACGCGCTCTACACCACACCACCACATCCATTTTACTCATTCGACCAAGCTTGGTCATAAGTTGGTACAACCGCATTTACAAAACTCATAAATTGTTCGACCTGCACCCCACGTAAGTTTTGTAATTTCTAAGGTCAATAACTACATAAAAAGAACTCCACAACTCACATGGAAATCTTGTAAGACCATCTCCAAATGAGATGTCAAAAATGCTACATAGACATATAACAGTAACAAACAACGTACCAATTACTCCAACTAAGATGTCAAAGTTGACATGGAAAAAAGGTTAAGATGATATGAACAAAGAGATGTTAAATTTGAAGTTGCCTTTAAATATGGTTTTTGCTATTTCCAAATGCATTCCACTAGCCTTACATTAAATGTTAGCATATTTAATTATTATTTTATTATTTTTAAACTAACAAAAACTTAATTTTTATTATTTTTGTTTTAAAAAAACATAAATAAAACAATAAAAATTATTTATGTTTGAGATCTATTGCAATCTTATACAACATCTTTAAAGACAACGATCTTTTGAATTTGACGTCTCTTCTGAAAAAGTTCTTAAGTGAACGCATGTTGTAGTAAGACTGCAAGGCTGCGTTTGACAAGTTGGATGGGGGCATTCAGACTGGAGCACGAGAAAGCTGAGGTCAGACTTGGCTACATTCTTGGGAGGCATGAGAGAGATACACGCGTAAGTGTCTGATTGGGTTCTTGTCCATTGGAAAGCTACGCGTAGGCATGAGCCGTTGAATTGTCCGGCGCGGCGCCACGCGAAGGCGCGTCCCCTCATTAATCATGATATCGTGATTACAGATTACAGTTCACAGTTCACAGAAGTCAGGTGTACATTTGTAACTGTAGGCGTGCAGGTACAATATTCTTACTGGAGTGCGGTCCATTAAGTAGGTAGAGGGCCGGACCAACAAAATAAAAACCACTAGCCCAATTGGGCTGTTAGAAATCACATTAGGCCCGACCCGAATACAAAATTCGTCCCTCGACTTGGATTTTTTTTTATTTTTTTTAATTTTTATCAAACTGAATTTTACTTGAAATTGGTGGATGCAAAATGAGCTCTTAGAATATGGATTACAAAGAAAAGAAAATTTTTTATTTACATTTTTAGAATATATAATTATGAATTTTACTTCAACCAGGGAGATGTGATTTTAAAATTTTATTTCACTTTTTCTTTAAATGACGGAGTCCACTCTCTGAAAGTTTAATTTATATTTTTCAACCAAGATAAAAAATTTATATTATATCCAACGAAGAGCTTTCCAATCAAGAAAAAAAATATAAAAAAACTCATTTCAAAGCATTTGAAATCTCACATTGGCCATTGGAGATGCTCGTCTAATTGTAATTCTCTTCGCACTCTCAGAATAAAAAAAACAATATTGGCAGAAAATGATTAAGAGCTCGTTCGAAAGTATTTTTAAAATGGTTGAAAGCGTTTTTTATAAAAATATTTTTTGAACTAATTTTTAGTAAAAATAAAATTGAATCTTAAAAAATGACTTGAAATGCTTCTTATAAGGAGCACACAACTAATGATTATTGCAAAAAGTATTTTAAATGTTTTGGAATCCAAAAATATTTTATCTACTTTCAATCATTTTAAAGCAATTATAAATAAGCCCCAAATTCAAAATTTCGAATGCTCGTCTAAGAAAATAAATGTACATTTCTTATTAGGTAGTAAATCTATATAGCAATCTCATTAAAAGCAAGCACAATTTATTGCCACTAAAATTCGATTCCAAAAATTGCAACAGTAAAAAAAAGTCAAACTCAAAAAAATCCAATTACAATTGGCAGTTACAAAAATATTAAATGCGTTTCTAAAAAAAACTGACAGTGTGAAATGATGTTATCACCTTTTTCTGGGTATTTAAGGAAGAATAATGTAGCACTCTTGAATGCTACATTGACAAAGACAAAGATGAAGGGGCAGGCTTTCTTCTCTCTGCTTATAGTCCTCCTCTTGGTTTTCTCTAATGGTAAATAGAATTCTCCTATCTTCGTTTCGTACACGATTATACTCCAAACTACTTTAATTTATGAAAAAATGTATTCCAAATTCAAGTTCAAGGACAACAGACGCACTGCATTTTTGAAATCCCGTCATCTGTTTGAGAGAAATTACATTAATTAATTACGTGTTTAACCACGTTTTAACATTTTCTTGTTTGCGGATTAGGTACATTGCAAGGAGAGGCAGAACAATCATGCTCCAAGTCCATCCCTCTCGAGGGTTGCTCAAAAGAGGAATGTGTCTTGGAATGCGTTAGACTAATTGGCGTAAGTATCAACGGTTGCTGTATCGATGAACATACATGTTGTTGCATAGAATAATGTATTTTTCTCCATCATCGACCGAGGAAGTAATCGATAAGGTAGAAACTAAGAGCTGATAGAGTAAATGATTATGTCTAAAATGTTATTTCGACTTATCAATGAATAAAATTCCGCTCAAAAGCTTGCTCATGTGTTTTTTATTTTATTTTGTTTAAATACAAAGGTATATTAATGCAATTGGGTGGGCGAATTGTTCGAACCGCCATCAACGAGATTCAAACTTAAAACCTCTTAGTTACAGGTTATAAGTGAAGAAAAATATCACTCGACTTTAGTGCTGAGTTACTCTCATATGATGAATCGGAGACTCAGCCGAAGAGATGTAAATTTTTTATGTTTTTGATCCGGAAATGTAAATTTTTGATGAGATTTATTAGTTTTGGTGAGATTTAAAATTAAAACATAACTAACTAGTTGATGTTAGAGGTTTTTGTTCTTGTCTTCCCATTTTAATTTTTTTAATTAGTGGCGTATTGTACTGATTAAGAACGATCATTTATCTTTCTTTGCCTTTCTTCCCCACGCATTTTTTTCAAAAATAGGGAAGGCATGTGTTTGGAGTACAAGAAGTTCTAATGATGCTGAGTTTCATCTCAACGTCTTGAGTTCAAATATCATTGAGTGACTGTGAACACGGAAAATTCCTGAAACGAAAGAGACAAGAACAAACGTGCACAAACAAATATTATGTATTTGATGATTTTGGGTTACAATCTCTCTCTATTTTGATCCTCTGATTCGATCTCCGTAAGGTGTTGATTGGTGGATGTTTTGTTGATCCAAGGGCCGTTGATGCTTGATCTTGGATGAATTGTTGGAAGTTTCTTCAAAGGGCCGTGGGCTTGATCTTTGAAGGTGGATTTGAGCGGATCTTCAAGGAGCCGTTGGGACTTGATCTTGAAGAACAGTGATGAACGGATCTTCAAGGGCTTTTGGGCTTGATCTTGAAGAACAGTGATGAACGGATCTTCAAGGGCTTTTGGGCTTAATCTTGAAGAACGGTTGGATGTGTGTGGATTTGTCGACGTTGTTGATCCAAAGAGCCGTTGGGGCTTGATCTTGGATGAACGGATGATGAACGATGGTGCTTTCTTCAAGGGCCGTCGGGGGCTTGATCTTGAATTGGTGGATGATTGTTGATCCAAAGGGCCGTTGGGGCTTGATCTTGGATGAACGATGAACGAAGAACGAAGAGAGCTTTCTTGATTCTTCGGGAACCTGGATGCTTGAGAGCTTCGGAGTTTCAGAGCTTCAGAGCTTCAAGGTGTAATATGAATTCGTTCTTCAAATGAATGAAATGGGCTTGTATTTATAGAATTTTCCAAGGCCTAATTTTGAATATAATATTCCAGATGAAATAAGTCGTTTCTG